ACACGGGAGCCAATGGCATCGAAACCTTCGGGGACCTTCTGACCCGGGTCAATCCAGACCCGGGCCAGTCAGGCATTGCAAAATCCTGCAAGATTCTACACCCACACCCAGGTCATTGCGAAGGATCCTGCAAGATCCTGCAGGATCCTGCGCACAAACCCGGGTCAAAGCAACCCTGGCCCTGCAGGATCCTGCAAGGTCCGGCGCTCTGGCTGACCCCCGTTTGCATTGACCCCCGTCTCAAGGCTCCCGAAACCTGACATCGTGTGCTCACCCCGGGCGAATCGAAGATGCGCGAATAAGCGCGGCCTTCCCCCCGCCCTGCTGTCTTGGCGAAGGGATGCACGTGACCCGCGCCCTTTCGGAGGAGCGCCACTCCTGGACAGACAGCCGCGAACAGCTGGCACCCCCACGTGCCCTTGGAGCGTCGTGACCGCAGGATTGCCTCCCAGCTTGAGGCTGGCATGAAAAAGCGCCAGGGCTGGCGGTATCAACTGCACTGGAAGCGTTACACATGATGAGCTCATGAATAGAATTAGGTCGGGCGTGTCTCCCTACAGGCGGATTTTGAACGACAAATAAAAAGAATACTCAACAAATTCTCACAAGTATTCAAAAAAGGTCGAAAGCTCGTCCCCATACTATTTTTGACTATTTCTGAATGTTTCCCCTGTGGAGGGACAGGCCCAACTTAAGAGTAGAAACCAAGCCCCGATTACTCGCACCATTCCAAGCATGACAATCGGCAACGCATCCAGAGGGAACGGCAGAAAGGGGTGTGCCTTCTCGAAGGCTGAAATAGACGAGTGCGTTCCACTACTCGCAAAGTAAAAATGGCCTGGCTCCGCCGAGGGGGATCTACGACACATTACATCGAAGCAGACATGTGCATTTCGGACGTTAGCGAGTAGGCACTTTGCGAGTAGTGTATCGCGCCTGGTGATGAAAGGCCTCCAGCCTTCTGCAAAGCCTTCTGAGCCTTCTCCGAAGCCACGGAGGGCATGTCCCAAAGCCTGGGGGCTTCTCAATCGATCCGCCGCCCTCTGAGAAGGCCCGTCCCCTCTCTCGTCCCCCATTGTCGCGCCCCCCTGTGGCGAATATTACAAAACTGGCATACCCAAAAATCCCAAGATTTTTTGTTACACCCTGGCGATTTGCTGGCGAGGCTGCGGAAGAAGAGGCACCTTCGGCAGCCCTACGAACGCACACAGCCGCCAGGGAGAGGAGCCAGGAGATGGATAGCCGATCGTCGGGCACGCGCTGACGTGAATCACCCGTCGGTCGGAGGAGGTCGGGAGAACCATGAAGTAGGAAGGCGTTGAAGCAGATTGGGTGTCCGCCCCACCCCCTAAGGAGAACGGAACAAGAAAAAACACTCCATGATTGAAGAAAGAAAGCGCCTAATGTACAGTGGGACCCGTGAATCCAGACACAAAACATCACCTTTCAACGACCGGCGCGATCTGGCGCGGGAGCGCCAGATCCGCGGATCGGGGGAAGTGCCCCCCGAAACGCAAGGCCAAAAGCCGCCCGACTTGGCGTCGGAGCGCGCCGATTCGCTACGGTTAAGTCGGGCCTGTCCCCCTACAGGAGGATTTTCCACGAAAAATAATCAACTACCCCCGCCAAAAAAAATCCAAAAATCGTCCGGGGACTATTTTTGATTATGTTTTAACCTTGTTGGTGTATTTTTGAAGTTTCTTTTTCCAATTTTTTAGTCGAAAATCCCCTCTGTAGGGGGGCAGGCCCGACATAACACTACGGGCACGGGACCCGTCCCCCTCATCCACGCGCCGCCAACCCAGAAACCTGAACTGCTGGAGGTCCGCGCGGCTTCCTCGGATCGGCGCTGAGCCCCCCCCTCCCTGGAGCGCCGAGCGCGCAGGCGGCGGCGCCGGAGGCGCCGCCGGGGGGCCTCAGCGCCGATCCAAAAGATCTGCGCGGCACGCCAAAAAATTATGCTTCTGTCACGTGTTGTTCTTCGAGCTTCCTCGAGATAGCCGGTTGTGCACAGAGGGGGTAGGGGGAGGGGGGAGGCGTCTTAGAAAGATGCTGATTCTTAGAAGGCGCCAGCCCTGCATCTACAGATAAGACCCGCGAAGCCTAGGGAGCAGGGGTGCTTCTAACTTCCCCCCTCTCCCCACCCCCCTCTGCGCGCTGTCCCCCTTCAGGGGGATTTTCGACGAAACATAAAAACTACCCCAATTTCTTCTTCAACAAAAAACCATAGTTCAAAAATAGTCTGGGGACATTTTTTTTTTTTTTTTTTTTACCCTTTTGGGTGCTTCTGACTTCCCCCCTCCCCCCACCCCCCTCTGCAGGCTGCCGAGCTGCGTGTTCCACCATGGACACCTTGTTACCCATCGCTCCTGGGCCGCGGCGGTCTACGGGCGGTCTTCGGTGGTCTACGGGCGGTCTTCGGCGGCCCTTTGCCTAGACCCCACCGAGCCCTCCAAAACAGCTCAAATCGTACCCCCCCCCAAAATGTGACCCCCCCACTGTATTATGGAATCCGGAGTACCGACGGTCTTTGGCAGGTGAGCGTTTTTTTTAATTCCGCGTTTCGACAGTGGGCGCAAGGGGGGGAGGGAGGGGGTTCTGGCTCCGGACCTCTGCTTGGTGCGGCTGTCTGCAGCCGTGCGTCCACCATGGGGGAAGCTTCACCTGCTCGAGACGGGCGCAAAAAACAGTCAAGATTTACTGTGTGCGAGGGCCCGCGCCGATCGGCAAAACAACAAATATAGCGAAACACCACTTTCCAGAGGCCTTTGGCGCGAGAGCTGGACGGCTGCGCGCTCCACGGTGGGCCCATGGCCGAGCACCGCAAGAAGGGGGAGAGCACCACATCCAGGGGAACACACTGCGCAGCGCTTGTGGATTGTGTGGCGTGGGGTGGTCGCCCTGTTGCATTTTGGGGATCTTCTGTTCCGGGTCAATCCAGACCCGGGTCAGTCAGGCCTTGAAGAATCCTGCAAAATCCTGAAACATTCTGCACGCAAACCCGGGTCGATGCGAAGGCTCCAACGATGCCCTGCAGGATCCTGCACCCAAGCCCGGGTCAGTGCGACCCTGGCCCTGCACGATCCTGCAAGATCCGGCGCCCTGGCTGACCCCTCCTCCTCCTCCTCCTCCTCCTCCTCCTCCTCCTCCTCCTCCTCTTCATCCTCTTCTTCTTATTATTCTTATTATTATGATTGGTATGAGTTTGCTTATTCTGATTGTTATTTTTATCATGCTTCTTCTGTCTCTGGAGCCCCGAGCCAGTGGGCCACGGTGCGCTCCAGGACATCTGGGGCGTCGGGCGGGCCCCGTCGTCTGGCGCCCCGCGCCCGGGCGCTGCAGCAGGACGCCCGGGAAGAAGCTCGAGCCCTGGCGCGTCATCGCCGCGATGTCACAGGCAGCGAATCCGCACGGAGCTCCGAGAACGTCTGCCTGTGCGGTGTCTCGGTGATCTGGGTGTCAGTATCCTGACTTCGCGCTCCTCCGAGCTTGGGCGAGAGATGCGGTGGCTCTCACAGGTGCGGCCCGGACGCCCACGACTCGGCGAGCTGAGCAGCGTGCGACACTCCGAGGGCGGGAACGCAAAGCTTTCAAGAAGAGATAACGCGGTGCTGGGGCGAGAACAGCCTTGAGAAGAAGAGCGTCGACTTTGTGATTGGGGGGTCCTATACGGGGCAATGTGCCACGAGCGAGCGGGAGAATTAGGAGCAGGGGGTAGGCGTAGACGTCCATTTCAGTTACCAGACCCTTTGAACAAGGAGACGTGCAATTAGAATTTATGGGGGCTCGAGGGCTCGAAATCGTCAGATGGGACCTTGAGACATGACGGGTCCAACCTGAACTTTGTGTCGTCAACTCCAGCTACAAACATCGCCTGGAAACTGGACCGTCAAACTTCATGCCAGGACCGTCAAACAGCGGCGGCCCATCTGAATCCTGGCGAAGTAGAGTTTTACGGTTTCCCCATGTAAGCAGACTACGTCCACTGCGTTCTCTGTGGTTTCGGGGGAGGACGCGGGAGGGACGGATGAGGAGCGCGCATGGCGAATCAATTTTGTGTCAGATCGAAACGGACCCAAGCGGATCCCAGGGTGTGCCAGGGGGCCCAGGATAGAAGCAAACACAACGGCATAAAAATATACACTTCTGGCGCTCCAGGCGAATTCCTTGGCTCCGTGCGGATCCCTCTCCCTGGCGCACGGGGTGCGCCAGGGGCGGCGCCGGAGGCCGGAGTGGATGGGCTCGGAGGATCGCGCCGACTTGCCGATGCATCGGCGATGTATCGGCGATGTATCCGCGATGCACCGGCGATGCAACGGCGATGCAACGGAGGTGCATCGGCGACGTCGACGTGGAGCAAATCGGGCTCCACATCGAGCCGCATCGCGATGCATCAGCGATGCGGCGCGATCCTCCGACCCCATCTACTCCGACCCCATCTAGGAGGCCTAGAAGGGAGGAGGACTGGGCGCAGTATGGAAACTGGGGTGGAGTCTGGGGACACATGCATCCGACGCAACTCGGCGGCGAGCGAGGGGTGGAAGCGAGAAGGAGACGGCCTGCTCAGAAAACGGCGGGACTTCTCAGAAGTCCTCTGGCCTTCTGAAAGGTTTTCTGTGTCTGCGGGGAAGGCTCAGAGCCTGCTGAGAAGGCCCGCCCCTTCTCACTTCCCCCCAGGGCTCACCGTCGAGATACGTCCAGTGCGCGGCCCCAGTGGTCCCGACCCGTTCCAGGTGAGACATTTTCGCCCCAGAGAGACGCTTGTTGATGGCAGCAGCACTCGGAAACGAACTCTGGAGGCCGAAATCTGAGAGCACCTAACCTACGGGTTTTGAGGGGTCATGATATTGTCCGAGATCTGGGGACGCTGGTGCCGGGGCAGCAAGGCCTGGGGTGGAGTCCGGCTCCACGAAGTTCGGGCACGTGCACGCGGGGTACGCCTCCACCTCGCGGCACATCGACTCGCAGACGCCGGCCAGCTTGTTCTGGAGCAGGGCGCGGTTCCTCAGGTCCTGGAGGAGCGGGGAGGCCAGGCAGCCTGATTACAACACGACGTGGAGGAAAACTGCCCCTCGAGGAGCTACCCTGGCCAACCCCTCCGACCACCCCATCCTCCACCCGCCCCCCCAAGCCAACCTTGGGGTTTGGTCTACGAGGGGGGCAAGAAGAGAGGGGAATGAAGGAACGTGCGCCTTTCGTCCACCGTGTGGACCCGTGGTGGCAGTTCAGGGGCCGCGTGGGGCTCCTTCAGGACCGCCCTCCTAATCCTCCACACAACCACTAGAAGCCTCCGAACTGAAGTCCGAGTAAATAGATCGGGAAATCGCGCCACATCGCTACTGAACCGACGATGCCGTGGAGAACGTCTGGATCCACATCGAATCGCATCGCCGATGTACCGTACCGCGCCAGAGCGGGGCCTGACAGTTAAAAACAACTGACGGAAGATTGGTCATACCCATGGTGCCAAAACGGACAGAATGCATCTCCCTCACATGGCGCTGTTGTGTGCCATGGGCGTTATCGGTCGCTATCTGGACGCCATAGGGCGCTACTGGGCGCCACGCGGCGATATTGGGTAGTTACTAGCCGCCGCTGTGCATCCGATTCCAAGACGAGCGGCAACCTCCGTGATTATGCAGCCCACAAAAGACATACGCGCTCACCCAAACATGTTCTACGAACAAACACAATGTCCTTAGAACATAAGCCCGACGTCAAAACAAGACAGTCCCAGCCATAACTGTTCTAAGAACATTTCGTACAAACCACACCAGGTACTTAGAACATTCTCTGGTAGGCCCACAGGCACGCCAGGACGCTTCGTCACTGCTTGAAATTCGCGAGATCGGCCGCGTGACGCCGCGCCCGCCGCGCGAGGCTTGGAGCGCGGCTCACCTCCTCCTCTTCCTCCTCCTCCTCCTCCTCCTCCTCCTCCTCTCCTCCTCCCTCCTCCTCCTCCTCCTCCTCCCTCCCTCCCTCCCTCCCTCCCACCCTCCCTCCTCCTCCCTCCTGCTCCCTCCTCCTCCTCCTCCTCCTCCTCCTCCTCCTCCTCCTCCTCCTCCTCCTCCTCTTCCTCCTCCATCCCTCTCTCCATAGAGAACTCCTCCATGTCGCGGGTAGTTTTCAAAGTGTGGCTCTCGCCTTAGCGCCGCGCACATTCGACTCAGCAGTGAGGGCCCGCGCCCTCCGCCCTCCTCCTCCTCCTCCCCTCTCCTCTCCTCCTCCACCTCCTCCTCCTCCTCCCATCCTTCTCCCCTCCTCCTCCTCCTCCGCCCCCTCCCGCGGGATCCTCCGCCCCCCTCCTCCTCCTCTCCTCCTCCTCCTCCTCCCTCCTTCGTCCTCCTTCGTCCTCCTCCTCCTCCTACCCCGCCTCCTCCTCCTCCTCCTCCTCCTCCTCCTCCTCCTCCTCCTCTCCTCATCCTCCTCCTCCTCCTCCTCCTCCCCTCCTCCTCCTCTCCGCCCTCCTCTCCTCCTCCTCCTCCTCCTCCTCCTCCTCCTCCTCCTCCTTCTCCCTCTCCTCCTACTCCTCCTCCTCCTCCTCCCGCGGGATCCTCCGCGCGGTGGCGGGCTCCCTCAGGCGTGTGTGGCGGCTCTCGCGGGCCGCCCGTGGCCCGGCGCGCGGAGGATCGCCGGCCCTCACGGCCGGGCCGTAGCAGAAGGATCGTCCTGCAGCTCTTGAATGAAGGGGCCCTGGGACACACAAATTAATCCACACAGATCAAAAGGATTCCCGACATGTTCTCGTATTTTCTAGGTTTTCGTCTTCCCCCCCCCCACGTCCCATATCTTCCCATCTTTTCCTGGGGATCGACGATTACTAGTGTCTGTGTGCTTTTCCCCCCTTCTGATTCACCCTTGCTGGGGCCCACCCAAGGGGGGGAGCCCTGAGGGGGGGGGGGAGTTCGATCCGCTGGTGCATCGAGTTTCCGAGAAACGATGCCCCCCCGCGCGCCCAGATTGTCGACGCCTCTCGGGTTCCGGCGGCGGCCGGAGACCTCGTTCTGCATCGTTTCTGGGCGGTTCGATGCACCAACGGACCGAACTCCCCCCCGCCCTGTGGCACCCCTCCCCTTTGCGAGGTCCCGATCTTGACCCTTGCAGTCGGACCCTTCCAGTCGACCCTTACAGTCGACCCGGGTCTGACCCTCACAGTCGGATCCTTCCAGTCGACCCTTGCAAGGGCCTAGGACGACCGTTTCGTAGCTTTTCGCGCGGGGCGCAACCGACAGAAGTGGCCAAAGGATGGACCGAGGAGGCAAGGATGCAAGGGTACCCTTGGGAAGCTTGCCCATCCTTGCAATGTTGGTTGACTGCATAGGGAAACAAACACCTGACATAAACATAAAGACTTGGAAGTCCGGGCGGATTGCTTGAATCGGCGCCGGATCCCCCTGGCGGCGCCTCCAGCGCCGCCCCTGGCGCGCTCCCCGGGGAGGGGGCTCCCGCTCGGATGCCAGATACCCGCGCGGACCCCAGAGTTTTTTTCCATGTTTATGTCGTTGTTTGTTACCCGATCTTGCATTCGCGCCACCCGCGGGGTGGCCCGTAAGTGGAGGAGGGGGGGGAGGAGGAGGAGGAGGAGGAGGAGGAGGAGGAGGAGGAGGAGGAGGAGGAGGAGAGGAGGAGGAGGAGGAGGAGGAGGAGGAGAGGAGGAGGGAGGAGGAGGGGAGGAGGAGGAGGAGGAGGAGAGGGGGAGGAGGGGAGGAGGAGGAGGAGGAGGAGGGGGGAGGATGGGGAGAAACAGAACGAGGAGGAGGAGGAGGAGGAGGAGGAGGAGGAGGAGGAGGAGGAGGAGGAGGGGCAGCCTCCCCCCCCTCCGCGTGCCTCCCCTCCTTCGACTCGCCGTGCTCGGTCCCCTCGCTCCCCGTCTTCGGTCCCCGTTGCGCCTCCTCCCGCGTCTCGTCGGCCCCCGCGGGCGGACCGAGCCATTTTCAGAATGAGCCCCCCGAGCCTGCCCAACCGCGGGGGGGCGGGGGGCCACGGCTGCACTCAACAGGAGCCCCACCGCCGTTAGCAGCAGCAGGAGGGGCGGCAGCAGGAGGAAATTGCCGAGATCGCGAAGTGCTTCCAGGGTGCCCAGACCCATCTTCGTGGGATGAGGTAGGCATCGGTGGTTCAAAAATGGGGTCCTGAAGCATAGGGTCCTAAGGACGAGGCGCCTCCAGCAGCCCGAATCCACCCTTGGATCCCTTGATAACCTTAGGCGTCCATCCCTCAGGACCTCATCTTTGGATGCCTCCCAAATGGGGTCGGAAGATTGCGCCGCATCGGCGATACATCGGCGATGCATCGGCGATGCGCCGGCAATGCATCGTCGACGTGGGCGATGCATCGGCAATGTCGACGTGAAGCAAATCGGGCTCAAAATCGTGCCGCATCGACGGTGCATCGGCGATGCGGCGCGATCCTCCGACCTCATCTGCTCCGAGCCCATCTAGGCGGCCGCAAATATTTGAACCACCGACGTCAGGGGAGAAGCACTAGAGACTGCGGGGCAAATTGAGAAGACTCCGTGCTGCCAGAATCCGGCAAGTGTCCGACAACGGGCCGCAGCCTTGACGTAAGTCGGAGTGGCCCAAGCTCAGCGCCAGTGGCTGCTGCCTTGGCTCAATGTCCGAACGATGCAAAGATCATGCACTTCAGGGGGGAGCGGCACGGATGCCTCGGATCCGCGCTGGGCCCACCCCGGCCCGGCGCGCGGACCCCGCCAGGAGCGGCGCCGGAGGCAACGCCAGGAGGGATCAGCGCAGTTACAAGAAGTCCGCGCGGACCTCCAACAATTTATATTCAGGCTGCAGTATTCGACAGATGCAGGAGTTCCTGGGTCATTGACGACTTTTCGCCAGTCGGCCTGCAGGGAGCACGCGAGCTAAATCGAGGTACGTCCAGGCAGGCGTAGGCAAATCCACACACACACACACCGAGGTAACTCTAGAGATCTACAGGAGATCTGGAGCGAATCGTGGACACTACAGCGCGAGTCGAGTCGAGGGGCGGCAGAAGTCGTTGAGCCCTGAACGAAGGAGAGACGAGGGCAAGACGGTTCTTCGCCGACTGGAGGGGGTCAGGCGGGAATTTCTTCACCTCCACCGCCAGCGGATCGACATTCGGGTACCTCGGCAGGCGGTGGATGTGGACATGCGGTCCAGGGTCTGTGCCCCCCCCCCAGATGGCATGGTGTGCCCCACCCCCCCTGTGGAATGCTGTGGTGTGGTGTGGTGGTTGGCGCGCGTGCGTGCGTGCGTGCGTACGTGCGTGTCCTCCCGCCCACCCCTGTGGGTGTGGCATCGTGTGGTGGTGTGCTGTGGTGTGGTGGTTTGCGCACGCGTGCGCGTGGAATGAGGCGGGGAGAAACGGGCGCCCCTCTGCCAGAGCCGCGGCCACCTTCGACCCCATCCAGGGGGCAGAAAGGAAAAGGGAGCAAGGAGGAGGACGACGACGGAAAGCAAATGTTCAGCGGTCCGACATATACCGAAGAATTGCAGTTCCGGCGGGCGCGCTTTCTTCGATGCATTTCAATCCCGACCCCTACTGAATTCAAACATTCATCCAACCTGTGTAAACATCGTGCCCCCCTCTGTACTTCCTATTCTGCAACTGCCTCACAACAGAGGGACGGTGGACTCCAAGAGGAAGAGGAGGAGGAGGCGGAGGAGGAGGAGGAGGATGGGGAGGAGGAGGAGGAGGAGGAGGAGGAGGAGTAGGCCAAGAATGCCCGTCGCGATTTTCTCGCAAAGAGCGGGGGCCCAGGATCGGAGGCGAGGAGGAGCAGCAGAAGCAGCAGCAGCAGCAGGAGGAGAGAGGCACGGGGGGCACGGAGAGGGTGCCCGCGGGGTCCTCCGCGGTGCACGCCTCCTGGCCGCCCCTAGCGCTGACCGCCGCCGACGCCAGGGGCGCGACGACCAGCAGCGCAAGGAGACCCACGGACCTCGCCATTACAGCCACTGAGACTGTCGAGGATCTGATGTTGCATCTTCGGGGGACCTTCTCCATCCCGTCGAGCCCCCTACAGGAGGAGCTCGACCACAAGAAAGCTTCCACAAGAAACCCAACCCTGAAACCCTAAGATGTCCATGTACTCTGGTGTGGCAGCGTCACGCTGTCCATGTCGAAGCCATGAAAACCCAAGAAACCCAAAGCAGCCTGGAGGCAAGCAAGGTGTTTCTTGGCCTGGTATTCCACTGCATCCGCGTCGAATCCATGTCAAATCCATGTCGGGCTCGACACATCCGCGCCGGCTCCGCGCAGAATCCACACCAACTCCGCATAGAGACCGCATCAAGCCCGCGTCGGGCACGAGAAACAATACAGTCATCGGCCTGACCTAAGGAACGATAAATAAGGAACGAATACCCATTTTAATCCCAAGGAATAACGCATAAGGAACGATCAATAACAAATAACGCATAAGGAACTGCAAACAACGCATGCAAACCTAAGGAACGACCGAGCCCCTTTTGAAAAGTAGGTGTTCCTTATTCAAGCCGCTCACTGTACGGTGAGAGGGGTACAGACGAGGTCTCCCCGAAGGTGCAGCGTCAACGATCGGCGGCGCGCTGGGGGGGGGAAAGCGAGAGGGAGCAGGCCTCCTCAGGCTGCGGGGCTGCTCAGAGAAGCCCTCTGGCCTTCTGAGAAGCCAGCCTTGTCGCCAGACACGCGGTAGACATCGAGTAGGAGATGAAATGCAGAGTTGACTTACCCCAAAATTGAGATGCGCGTCGAGTCGCCGGAGGAATACGTAGCAGTTCGACGAACGTTGTACTTTTTCCCTTCTAGATGCGACGAGCAAAACACTTTCGGGGTAAATCGATTCTGTAGTTGATCCCCTACTCGAAGAAAGCTTCTCAGAAGGCGCGAGAGCCTCTGAGAAGCCCCGCCGTCTTCAGTGAGTGCATGCCCCCTCTCTAGAGGCCTCCCAGATGGGGTCCGAGTAGATGGGGTCGAAGGATCGAGCCGCATTGCCAATGCACCGCCGATGCCCCGGCGACGTGGGCGTGGGGAAACACGGGCTCCGCCTCGAGCCACATCGTCGACACGTCGGCGATGCGGCGCGATCCTCCGACCCCATCTGCTCGGATCCCATCTGGGAGGCCCAGCCTCTCACTCCCCCCCCCCATGGCTAGCCGCCGAAGCGTGTAACAGAACGCTGCATGCAGAGAAAATGCCATAACGATGCATGCAGAGAAACCTCGGATCGGCGCAGGTGCCCTTTTGGCGGCGCCTGGCGCCACCCTTGACTACCTACCAGACCACCTCAACCCAACCCGAAGACCCGAATTTCGGGTTGGGGGGGGGTATGGGTTCCATACGCGTTTTTCGATGTTCCCCGACCCCCCCCCGCACTGGAAATGGAGGGCAAATTGAGGCCTTCGGGTTGGGTTGTGGTGGTTCGGTAGGTGGTGAACCCTTGGCGCCGCGCGCCAGGGAGGGGGCTCCAACGCTGATCCAAGAACTCCGCGCGGTCCTCCGGAAGATTCAGTGTTCTGCAGCTTTCTGTTCCTCGAACTGACTTCGACGACTTGTTTTTGTTCGATGCGGGCCTGACTACTCTATTTCGGCTTTCTGGGGCCTGTTGCCACGCCCTGGGACCCTCCGAAAAATGCATCCAGAGCGGGAAACTGGCCTCAGGGAAGGGGTCGGGACCACTGGCCGCGCACTGAAAAAACAGCATATCGTCGGGTGTCTGAGCGATCGGTTCTGCCAGGGCAAGCGCTACGTTGGGATGGTTGGTGCCGCTGCTAGATTGCTTCAATCTCGAGCCAACACGGGTACAGCACATTCCTAGCTTGCCGATCTGGGCCCTGGCTCCTGACATCACCGCGTGACATCGCTAAGTTTAGGTCGGGCATGTCCTCCTACAGGCGGATTTTGAAAGAAAAGCAAAACATAGTCAAACAATGCTCAACAATAGTCAGACAATAATAGAACATTCGTCTCCAGACGATGCTTTGGACTATGTTTGTATATTCTTCCTGTAGGGGGGGGAATGCCCGAGTTAACATTACCTCTCGCGTGGAATGCTCGCGCGGTCGGTATGTGTCGCGGCAGCGGCCCTGGCGACGACGTCCTGCCTTTCAGGCGGATGTCGTGCCGTTCTGCTCCGCGGAGCGGAAGCTTAGAACAACAGCCCGGGACGTTGACGCGTGGGGGCCAGGAAGTGGCGTGTCGCGCCGAAGCGTGGTGGGCCAGAACCGGCTGAACGACGCACTGAGCGCACACACGGTCCTGGCCGGAGGGGGGCCCGCAGTTGGATGGCGCTTTCGACCTCGCACGACCCTGCGCTGGAGCCAACGCGCACGGCGCAGAGGCGGCGCGCTGACCTGCTGAGGGTGAGGGCGACGTCCGCTCAGCATCGACTCCAGGACCTTCCCTGGACCTCTCGGCTCCGCGCTGAGCGCGCCAGGGGCGGCGCCGGAGGCGCCGCCGGGGGGCGCAGATACGAGAAATCTGCCCAGAGCGCCGACAGTTCATGCTCATGGCGTTTTTGACGTTTCGATTCCCCCCGACACCTCCTCCTCCTCCTCCTCCTCCTCCTCCTCCTCCTCCTCCTCCTCCTCCTCCTCCCCCACCTCCTCCACCTCCTCCTCCTCCACCTCCTCCTCCTCCTCCTCCTCCCATCCTCACCGACTCTTCGGGCTGCGCCGCTGCGTCCAGCCGCTCGCCGTCGCCCGGGCGTCCCACTCCCCTCTTGCGCACTCTTGCGGCGCCGCGCGTGCGCCCCCTTGCTTGTTCCACGGAAGGGGCCTCCTCGAGCTGCTCCGCTCGGTGGGCCTCGCCGAGGAAAAATCGGTGGGCTCCTCCTCCTCCTCCTCCTCCTCCTCCTCCTCCTCCACCTCCTCCTCCTCCATTCCTTCCCCCCTCCAACTTATGATGGTGGTGGTGGTGGTGGAAAGCAGGCCCACCACACCAGATCGAGCGCCTCGGCACCCCGCCGGGCACGGTGGCCAAGGCGGCCACGGGGCGGCCGCGCGTCAGGCAGGCCGGGAGCCGAGAGATCCCGCCGCGCGCGGTGCGGCCCAGCGTGCGCCGCACCGGAGGGCCGAGACTTCCGCCGACGAGAGGGGTGAGAGACGGGCCGAGAGGCAGACGGCGCCACGTTTTGTCCGAGTCCCTCCGACCGGCTTCTCAGAGGGGCGCGAGAAGAAAATGTAGACCGCGCGCAGACTGGACAGCCCAGGTGCTGCGCGTCGCGATCGCGGCAGCTGACCGCATGGCAAATTGGAGCCCCTTCTGACGAATGAGCGAGCTTGGCAACATGTCGTCGAACGGCACAGTTGGCGTTGCCATCCAGCCCGACCTGTACAGCCTCCCCTTTTTCCACCCCAGAGTCCTACGCACCTCCGGGCGTACGACCTCCTGCTGTCGAGGACCCTGGCATCCAGGACACTGGTGCTACGGGAATCGCGTCCTGGTGAGCTGGTTTTTGACGGTCCCAGGGCCCGCGGAGGGCCCCCTGCAGCTCGGAAAGGGCGGAACGCCTCCAGGACCCGTTCCTCTCACTCGCCATCGCTCGGATGCCCATTCCCAGTGACGTGTTGATTTCGTACATATATTTTTCGCAGGATGATCCAAGGTGCTCCTCGATGATCCTCGCTCGCATAGGAAATATAATGCACACGTCCGAGCGATACCAGGCTCAGGACCCACTGGCTTCATGGCGAGGATTGGGGGATAGAACTTTCAGCGCTTCTGGCCCTCTTGGGGCCCCCAGGGAGGGCTCTGTGTGGAGGCTCCTGGGGACATCCAGGGATCTGGAGCATCGATGATCGCCGCGGCTCGCCTTCCCGTTGAGCCTCCTGCTTGGGCTCCTGGAACTGATGTGGTGCAGATGCCCCTCCTCGCCCTCCCATTTGCCTGCTCAGCTGAACCTGAGATCCTTGCCCAGGCTTCGCATACACCAGATTTCGTAATAAAAGGGAGGGGGTCTGGGACCCTCCAAGACAAGCCATTTCAGACCCCCCCCGGTGGGAGAACCCTCCAAAACATCGTCCCCAGACCCCCCCAGGCCCTCCAAGATAGCCTGGAAGAGACCCCCCCCGAAATGAGACCCCCCTCCCTTTATTACGAAATCTGGAGTATCGTCCCGCAGCGCCCTCGTCGCCACGGCCGGGTCCGCCTCGAGATGCTCCTGGCTGGAGGCTGGAGCGCAAGCCAACATTGGAGGAACAAAGAACGAACAGACGCAAACCCTCGGAGCTCCGCTCGGAAGAGGCTCCCAAGAGACCCCAAACTCCTCCCCAGGAGGCCCCCGGAGAGCCTTCCCAAGAGACTCCGAGAAGCATCCCTGAGGACTCGGGCCCACGTCAGCGTCGTCGTCGTCGTCGCCAGAGCCACCGCCGCCGTCGTCGTCGTCGGCGTCCCCCTTTAGCTGTCAGGGTCGGCGGCACCAGCCGTTAGGCCTTCGCAATAAAGAACGGCACACACGTAAACTTTCGTAGCTAGGGCCCCCTGGCGCCGCAGCTGGCGCCGCCCCCGGGCGCGCCGATCCAAGAAATCCACGCGAAGCTACGACAATTTTTGTTGATGCAGTTGTCGTCTGCGAAACATTTGATTCAGGCCGTGGGGTGAAGTGGGCCGCGGACCGCCGAAGCCGGGGCTGAGGCTCCGCTCTGCCCACGAGGAGATCTCAACGAAGCCACGAGAGGGATGCTCATGAACGGCGAACGCATCTATATCCACGCCCTCGCGGCCTGGCTTCTGGGGCGCGACACCACGGATACGCGGTCGCACAGATACTCCGACCCCCCCCGCATTGTGAACAAAAATCGCGAAAGGAGGTGTTTCATTATCTTCGGCCCCGGGGCGGCCCTTCTCGGGCCCCGGGACTGTCAAAAAACGACTCGACTCATCGGGGATCTTCTGACCCGGGTCAGTCAGGCTTTGCAGAGTCCTGCAAAATCCTGCACCCAAAAACGGGTCAATGCGAAGGATCCTGCAAGATCCCGCAGGATCCCACGCCCAAGCCCATGCCCATGCGTCCCTGGCCATGCATGATCCTGCAAGATCGGGCGCCCTGGCTGACCCCCGTTTGCATTGACCCCCGTCTCAAGTTGGCGGCACGCACGAGGGGGTGGAGGGAGGGGGAGGGCTTCTTAGAAGGAGGCTGCCTCTTAGAAGGCGCTGGCCGCACATCTATGGAGAAGGCCCGCGCCTTCTAAGCAACAGGGGTGCTTCGAAGAAGCCCTCTCCCCTCTCCACCCCTCTGCGCGTGCCTCACCAAGGCCCCCGAACTCAGAATGATAGACCGGTCCCGGGGAAAGGGTCCAGACCTCTGGGGGTCGACGTCTGGAACAGAACGCGGCGTTTCGATTTCAGCTCCCTATACACGAGCTATCCGGACATTGGCCCGCAGGACCCGAGCAATCTGGACGAGGGCAGGTCGGGAACCCGTGCGAGCCCACGGGCCCACGGTAGAGGCCTCCCAGATGGGGTCCGAGTGGATGGGGTCGCAAGATCGCGCCGCACCGACAATGCATCGCCGATGCACCGGCTGGAGATGCACCAGCGATGCACCGTCGACGTCGGCCATCCATCGGCACCATCGGCACGACGAAGATCGGGCTCCGCATGGAGTCGCATCGCCGATGCGTCGGCGATGCTGCGCGATCCTCCGACCCCACCTGCTCGGGCCCCATCTTGGAGACAAAGGCACGGGCTCCCGACCTCAGGATGCTGAGCCGGTCCTGGGGGAGGGAGTCCGCTGGGTCCCGGAGTTTTTTTTTGTTCTTCTTCTTTTGAGGGATGAAAAAAAAACGACCCTACCCTGGGTTACAAGTGCGTGGTCTGTAAACCTCCTGGGAACCCCCAAAGCCTAGAGCCGCCAGGACGCGGCACATCACGCAGGGTTTACCCTGTCAGCCCACAGGAGCTTTTGAGCACAGTGCCTCGTGAACCAGGGTAGGGGCGTGTTTTCTGGCCTTGATTATTCTTCTTCTTCTATCGATGGTCCTCGCCGAGGGGGGCCTCCCATCCATCGGAGGGACGCTGGTACAAGGCGGCGGCGGCCGGTCCTGCCCAAGCGGCTCTCGCCCTCTCCGGGGCCTGTTGGCTGCGCCCCGCCGCCACGGCTGGCTCCGCCCTCCGGGCAGAAAGCCAGGTCCTCCTCCTCCTCCTCCTCCTCCTCCTCTTCCTCCTCCTCCTCATCCTCCTCCGCCTCCTCCTCCTCGCCCTTCTCCTTCTCCTTCTCCTCCTCCTCCTCCTCCACCTCGTCTCTCTTTGTTTGTTTATTCTTCTTCTTCTTCTTCTTCTACCGATGATTCCGAGCCACGCCGGGAGGAGCGGCGACGACGAGCCTTCCCTCCCGGGCGCGCCGCCGACTTCCACAAGCGAGAGAGAGGGTCGCCGCCGCCGCCTCGGGAGCGGCCAAGAGGGGGCGTCCAAGAGGGGGGGGTGCAAATCATGGCCGGCGGCATGTGCGCGGCACAGGGGGGGGGGCCAGGGACGCAATGAAACAAGAAGAGGCGCCATGAAATCAGGGGAAATATCATGGCCCACGCCATGACATCCACGCCCCCCTTAGTCATCACCCCCCTCTTTGCCGCCCCCGACCGCCGCCGCGGGGCGCCCGCGGCGACGCCCTCCGCCGGAGGGGCGGTCCGCGCCGGCGGCGCGAAGGGGCCCTCGCGGCCGGGCTCGGCGGACCTCCGCGAGGGGGGGCCCCACCTCCTCCTCCTCCTCCTCCGCCTCCTCCTCCTCCTCCTCCTCCTCCTCCTCCTCCTCCTCCTCCTCCTCCTCCTCCCTCCTCCTCCCAGGGGGGCCGCAGGTCGACCTTCTGGACGACGACGGCCCCCCTGAGTACTCACGCGCCCTGCTCGAGACGACCTCGCGGTCGCTGAGCACTCCCACGGCCCCCCGGAGGACTCCGGGCGGCTGGACTCGGCGCGGCCGAGGGCGCCCAGCAGGGAGGGTCGGGACGATCGAAACGGGTATAGCAAAAGGTGAGGCACAATGCCCGGCAGCGGCTGGAGCCCTTGTGGGCCCGAAGAGGGGAGAACCCGAACAACCTGGAGAAACCTGTGGACAATCCATGTGTCAGCCCTCTCGGGGGCCCTCTGGAGCCGTCTTGAGGCTCTCTCGGACCGTCCGGAGGCCATCTGAAGCTCTCTTGCGGCCGTCTTGGGGCCCTCTGGGGCAATGGTTGAATCCTCTTGGGCCGTCTTGGGGCCCTCTGGCCGCTCCTATAAAACAACAATTAGGAAACGGGCCATGGGAGCCGCTCAGGAGCCGCTTCACTTGAAGAAATAAAGGGGACGCGGCCCCCGGACGTCCATTACAGACCGTCCTTGCGCGCCTCGCCCACCTGCGCTGGCACGGGAACGGACAGAGCGGACCAGGAACTTGCCCGATATGGCTCACGCCACCCTTCGCTCCTGGGAGCCTTAGTGATGAGAGCTTGTTACGTCACCGCTCGCTCTTGGATGCCTTCGTGATCAGAGATGTTTACGTTGCCGCTCCCTCTTGGGAGCGTTGGTGTTGAGAGATGCTTACGTCACCGTTCGCTCTTGGGAGCCGTTGTGTCACGAGTTTGTCACGTCACCGTTCGCGGGTGGAAGCCTTGATGTTGAAGACCTTTTGGCGATACTGATCGCTGTTATTTTGCGTCTCTGGGCCTTCTTGGAGGTCGTTGTGGGGCCCTTCTGGGTCCCTGTTGGGAAATTTTTGGGGAGCCCTTTTGGGCCGTCTTGGGGGCCTTGGACCGTCTTGGGGTTCTCTTGGTGGCCTCTTGGGGCCCTCTCGGGAGCTTTTTGGAGGCTTCTTAGAGCTTTCCTGGGGTCGTCTTGGTGCCCTCTTGGGCCGTTTGGGGGCCCTCCCAGGCCGTCTTGGGGCCCTCTTGGGCCCTCATGGGGCCCTCTTGGGGGCCACTTGGGCCGCCTTGGGGCGATTTTGGAGGTACATTGGCCTGTCATCGACCGCGTAACAACAGAAAAGGCGGATATGCTGAACATGTACGTTTTCCCGTAAGCATTTGAAGATTTGTGCCTCTTTGGCGTCCTCTCGGGGCCCTCTCGGAGCGTCTTTGGGGCCTCTTGGACCCCCTTGGGGCCACCTTCGGGCGTCTTCGGGGAATCTCGGGCACGTTCGGAACTAACTGAAGCCGTCTTGAAGCCCTCTCTTGGGCCGTCTGGGAGCCCTCGTGGACCGTTGTCGGCCCCACTGGGGATCCCCGGGGGCCGTCTTGGGCCCGTCTGAGGAGGAGGAGGAGGAGAAGGAGGAGAAGGAGGAGGGAGGAGGAGGAGGAGGAGGGAGGAGGGAGGAGGAGCAGGGAGGAGGGAGGAGGGAGGGGAGGAGGGAGGAGAGGAGGAGGAGGAGGAGGAGGAGGGAGGAGGGGAGGAGGAGAGGAGGGATGAGGAGGAAGGAGGAGGAGGAGGAGGAGGAGAGGAGGAGGAGGCCCTCTTGGACCGTTGGGTTTGGGGGCTCGGGGGCCGTCTGGGACGACCTCTGGACCCTCGTGGGCCGCCCGGGGCCCGCCCGAACCCGGGGAAGCACGCGGCTCGCGCTCCCGAGTCCGGAGCCCTGACAACTTGCACCAAGAGGAGCAGGAGGAGGAGGAGGAGGAGGAGGAGGAGGAGAAGGAGGAGGAGGAGGAGGAGGAGGGGGGGGAGGGGGAGGAGGAGGAGGAGGAGGAGGAGCGCACCAGAGTCGCGCCCCCGAGACCAGAACCCATGATGTTGGAGTCCCGAAGCGGGTCGGTGACAGCCCGTGCGGCGACCTCGCAATAAAGATCCCCCGAGACCTCACCGCACGGGCCGTCACCGCACGGTCTCTTGGGACCCCGGAGCTGGCCATCGCTCGGACGTCCATTCCGTGTGCTCTTTTCGGTTTCGTGCGTCGCTTTTTCGCTGAATGATCAAGGATGCTCCTCGATGGTCCTCGCCGAAGGAAAAATGCACACGTCCGAGCGATGCCAAGGGAGGCCCCTGTCGCCCGAGACGTCCTCGGAGAACGACCCGAGTCCCACCACCGTGCGGCGACCCCGAATCCCTGGCGACTCAACGCACGGTGTGGTCACCACCCCGTCTGGGGGCCCCCGAATAATGAACCAGGGCTGAACCCAAACGGTGCTTTTCGTGTTCGTTTTGTTTTCGTTTTCCCTCGCTTCTGTCTCCAACCCGCCTTTGCTGCAAAACGAAATCGAAACGAAAACGGCCCACGAAATCACCAAAAACACCGTTTAGGTCCAGCCCTGTAATGAACTACACCAGATTAATGCTCCCGAGGCTGGAATCCATCGTACATTAAATCAGGTTCGTGCCCCCGAGGCCAGAATCCATTGTAAAGTTAGTTGCGCCAGGTTCGCGCTCACGGATCCAGCATCCCGTCCACATTGCTTCAGGCTTGCGCTCCTGGGGTCTGAATCCCTCGCAGATTGCCCCAGATTCGCACCTCCGAGGCCAGTACATGTCGCAAAATTGAACCAGATTCGCGCTCCCCAGAATACGACCTCTCGTGAATTACACCAGACTCGCGCTCTCGCCCAAGCGCGGGTCACAATTCCGGATCCGAGTCCTTCATCGTCGTTGTCGCCCCGCTCCTCTCCCCTCCTCCGTCCTCCTGCTCCTGCTCCTGCTGCCGCGTCTTCTCGTCATGTGCCTGCGGGAAGGTACACCATCAGCGCAGCGGGAAGGGATGGGCACGAGGGGTGGGATGCCAGACGTGGCATGAGCGAGCCTAGCTTCAGATCGGGCATGTCCTCCCACAGGCGGGCTTTGGAAACAAATAAGAAAAAAAAACGTCCCCCAAATAATCAACAGGGCACGCAACTTGGAAGCTGGACGAGGGCTGGCGAATCCGCAGCTGCTAAAAAAGGTCTTCCCGTAAAAACAAAAACAGCTTCCCGGAATCAAACCCAGCGCACTGAATAGGAAACGGGCTGCTTCCTGGAAAAAAGGAAAAATCCCAGAGCTCTGTTTTAGCAGCCTCGGGTTTGCCAGCCGTCGCCCGGCTTCAGAAGATCCTGTTTGACTATTATCAACTCGTCCTCCTGCAGAGGGACATGCCCGACTAGGTCTTCGAGGCCTGGACGGCCAGTGCCCTGCCCTCCCTGCCTCACTGTCGCTCCTCCTCCCTCGCTCCCTCCCTCCTTCCCTCCTGCATCTCCCTCCCTTCTCCATCTCCCTCCCTCCTCCATCTCCCTCCCACCCTCCCTCCTTCCCTCCTCGTCCCTCCTCCCTCCATCTCCCTCCCCCCATCCATCTCCCTCCCTCCCTCCCTCCTCCCTCCCTCCTCCGTCCCTCCTCCCTCCCTCCCTCCCTCCCTCCCTCCCTCCCTCCCTCCATATCCCTCAATCTCCCTCCCCCCTCCTCTCGGCGGCGAGCGAGGGGGGGGGAAGTGATAAGGAGAAGGCCCTCTCCGAAGGCGGCGGGCCTTCTCCGAAGCCCTCGCGCCTTCTGAGAGGTTCTGTTGTGTTTTCGGGGACGGCTTGGAACACTTCTCATAAGGCGAGGGGGAGTTCTGAACCTTCTGAGAAGGCCCTCTTCTTCTCACTTCCCCCCCTCGCTCGCCGCCAATCCTTGAAGGGGCAACGCTAGGTGGGGGGCCAACTCATGGGGGGGGGAACATCGACCAGGAATTGGCGACACATCGCCGATAGATCTTCGACAGGTCCCAAATGGCAAAACCACAAGTTCATGGACGGGGGTGGGCTATCGGGTCCCTATCGGCGATGGATGGGGGATTGGGGGTCGATGCATCTCCCCCTGAGTTTCCCCTGGGAATCAAAAGAATACCCAATACCGCCACTCCCCGACTCCCCGGACCGTGGCGACGTGGGTAGCTGCATCGACACCTTTTTCCTCCTCTAATCCTCCCTCTCGCGGTCTTGACCACTGCGGGGTCCTTGGAACTCTGCACCACTTCCGAGGGAACCGGTTTGTCGTCCCGGAGAATGTTTTACGGCCCTGGCACCCCGCGAGGTACCCCCGACGCCGAAAACGACGAACAACCTCCGCCTTGATTCCTCAATGCGTTGGAAGTCTGGGCCCCGTTTCCCCTCCTCCTCCCTCCCTCCCTGAAGGGGCCCAAGGACACACAAAGAAATGCACACAAAGAACAAGTATTCCCCATATTTGTCCATAGTTTTAGGGTTTTGTCTTGCCCCCCACTTCCGATATTTCCCCATATTTTCCTGGGGCTCGACGATTCATTGTGTGTGTGTTTTTCCCCTCCTCCTCCCTCCCCGCCTGCGGCGTGCGGCACTTTTAAGCGTGCCGGCAGGGCCTGCTCCCTCTCTGGAGGGACCGCACGAGCTCGATGGATACACCCTGCGAAATGCTTAAGAAATCATGGGCTGAGAAATTTCTAGTCTCAGTTTTTCTGTTTTCTTTTAACCCTCGCGCCAATTGTGTCTGATCCTCCTCTCGATGTGGCGGCGACGACCGCCTCGGCTGAAAGAAAAACAACAACACTTGTTTTTAAACAAGCGCGAGCGAGCGGGGGGGAGGGAGACAGAGGGGAGGAAGAATTCATAGTCTCAGATTGTGACTGGAAACCCAGAAGTTCTTCTGAAATCTTGGGGTTCACATTGAATCATTGAGACTCATCGAGACTCTGGCCGAAAACTGAAGTTTTCTGAAAGCATCGCCCAGGGTGTAGGTAGGGGAGGGGCAGCCTCGGTCTCCCGCCGGGCTCAGACGCTCCTGCAGCAGCGCCGCGGTGCACGACAGCATGGACCCGGGGAGTCGTGCTCCCTGTGGTGTGCGCCACGGCTCCCCGTACAGGGCAGGTTTTAACACATAGGATGTTTAAGCAATGGGATTTTTCATACATGCTTAATCTTTGTGAATCAATGTATGCATGGACTCGTCGTTGTTCTTAATACTAGATGCCTGCATTTCTGATACATGATCCGCACGCGGAGCATGTGTTAAAAACGGCACTGTAGTGTCTGATGTGCACAACGTGGGAGCCTGCGTGACCCCGGGCGCTGTCCGACTCGATCCTGGTCTGGGCCGGACTTGGGACACCTCGGGGACCGGGTTTGGACCCGATGCGCCTTTCACAAGGGAGGCGAGGAGAACGAGGAGGGGGACGAGGAACATGGAGGGCGAGGAGAAGCAGGAGGAGTGGCCAAATGCGGTCAAGGTGCCGGAAAAGCGGATGCCAATGCCGCCGCCCAAGGCTCCCATGAACAGACATCGAACAAAGGATTGTGGAAGCCAAGACGGAGTTGTGGGGCAACGGGAAGGGGGCCAGGACAGGAAGGGGGACCATCGACCTGGAATCGGCGATACGTCGCCGATAGATCGGCGACAGGCCCCCGATAGTGAATCCCCACGATGCTGGACGGGGGTGGGCTATTGGGTCCCCTCTCGGCAATGAATGAATGATTGAGGGTCAATGCATCCCCCCTGATTGTCGAACCCAAGGCAAAGTCGAGTCCCTCTCGGCGGCGCGCACAAGGGGGCCGGAGGAAGGGAGAAGGCTTCTTAAGAGGCTGGTTCTCAGACGGCGCTGGCCTGACATCTATAGACAAGGCCCGCGCCTTCTACGAAGCAGGGGTGCTTCTAATGGGCATCGCTTAACCGACCCCTGTCCCCATGACCTTGGCCTGGACCCCACTGGCCGATGGACCCCCTAGATGGGATGGGGATATAGGCCGCTCCCTTCGGGTTTCGAGGCGTGTGTCCCCAGCTGGAGTGCAAGGATGCTGGGGGTCATGGGGATGGGGATGGGGATGGGGATCGGTAAAACGATACCGATCTAAGAAGCCCCCCCCTCCTCGCTACCCGCCTTCTGGGTAGACCAACATGTACAGATACCGCTACTCTTAAGTCGGGTGTGTCCCCCTACAGGGGAATTTCGACAAAAAAAAACAATACTCAAACAATACTCCCAAATGGTCAAAAATAATAGTTTAAACAATCCCCATACTATTTTCTGACTATTGTTGAATACTCCCAGCACCTCTCCCGGGGTGCGCTATGACCAGGATCTCGAGGCGAGTCAAGCCGTGGCGACGAGGGCCTCCCTGGAGGCCCCGAAGAGGGGTGAAACGAAAGAGAGGTAATGGTATGGGTACCTTTCCCCCTCCCCCCCAAGAGCTTTGAAGAGGTATCCCCCTCTTCCTACAGCTGGACCTAGGCCAGAAGAACATCTCTCAGGAACAGGAGACCCTCCGCAGGCCAGAATGAAGGGCACTCGAGGGTACCCTCCCCCAAGATGCGCGCGAGCATCCAGCGACATACGTAGGGGAACAAAAAGTGACATAAACATAAAAATTCGGAGGTCCGCGCGGATTTCTCGGATCGGCGCTGGACCCCCCTCCCTGGCGCGCGGAGCGCGCCAGGGGCGGCGCCGGAGGCGCCGCCGGGGGGCCCCAGCGCCGATCCGAGAAATCCGCGCGGACCTCAGAGTTTTTGTGTTTATGCCACCTTTTGTTCCCCTACTACAGCTAGACCTAGGCCAAAAAAACATCTCTCAAGAACAGGAGACTCTCCGCCGGCCAGAATGAAGGGCACTCGAGGGTACCCTCCCCCGGATGCGCACGAGCATCCAGCGACTTAACACACACACATCGGGGCACCCTCCCCGAGTCGACCTCGCTCTTAGACCTCGGCCCTCTCGTGGACGCCCCCGAGAACGAGCCGAGAGTCCCTCCCTCCCGCGGCGCGCCGCGGAGAGCCGCTGCACTGGCGCCTGCCGGCGGCGGCCGCCGTGGCGCTCCGGGCCGCGGCCACCGCGGCAGCGGGCCTCTCCGCCCCCCCCCAACACTCTTCCTCCTCCTCCTCCTCCTCCTCCTCCTTTTTCGCCTCCTCCTCCTCCTCCTCCTCCTCCTTCTCCTCCTCCTCCTCCTCCTCTCCTCCTACCCCGTGCCGGGAGGGCTCGGTGGCGACTCGCGGGCGGGTGGTGATGGGGGGTGGCCTAAATTTCGACGAGCGCGTTCCACTACTCGCAAAGTAACTACTCGCAAACGGTCTGGATCCGCCGCGGGGGATTTACGATGAATGGCATCGAAGCAGACATGTGTTTTTTTCTCACGTTTGCGAGTAGGCACTTTGCGAGTAGTGGAACGTGCTCGGTCAACATTGGAGGTGAAGAACAAAGCCTTAAATGGGGCCATGTAGGGCCCCTTGTGGAGCCACTTGGTGCCCAGAAGAGGCCCTAAGAGGGCCCATTTAGGGCCTTTTTCGAAGAAGACGAACACCACAAACACTGCATGAACGTAAACTGTTGACGCTCCGCGCGGATTTCTTGTATCCGCGCTGGGCCCCCCTCCCTGGCGCACGGAGCGCGCCAGGAGCGGCGCCAGAGGCGCCGCCAGCCGGGCCCAGCGCGGATCCAAGAAATCCGCGCGGAGCGCCAGAAAATTATGTTTATGTAGTTTTTCCCTCTTCAACTAAAAAGTCCCATTTCGGGCCTTTTTCTTCACTCCCCATTCTGGGTCACCTCCCATTGCCACCCGCCCGAAACTCACGGGAACTCCCACCCCGTGCCGAGGGCTCCGTGGCAACTCACGGCCTCCTCCTCCTCCTCCTCCTCCTCCTCCTCCTCCTCCTGCTTCTGTTCCTGCTCCTTCTCCGATTCATCCTCCATCCTCCCCCTCTTGAGGTACGACATCTTGACCTGCCCTTGCTTCCACTGCATTCTCCTCCACACCCCTGATTCGGCGGCGAGCGAGGGGGAAGTGTTGAGGACAATGCCTTCTCAGAAGAGGCGGCGGGACTTCTCAGAAGCCCTCCAGCCTACTGGAGAGGCTTTTTTTGTGTCTTCGGGGGCGGCTCAGAAAACTTCTCCAAAGGCTGCAGAACTTCCAAACCTTCTGAACAGGCCTTGCCCTTCTCACTTCCCCCCCGGCTCGCCGCCGAATCTTGTCAGCTCTTGCGAAACGACGCTTGTCGACGCTAATCGACGCTAGATCGACGCTATTCGACGCTAGATCGGTGCTATCTCAGCGGCTCCCAGACGATCATCTACGTCGGACGACGCTTAAGACGGAATTCAGAGGGTCATACCAGGCTCCCATGATTTGCTACCGAAAGAGGGGGGGAAGGAAACGCACCACCACCACCACCACCACCACAACCACCACCACCACCACCACCACCACCACCACCCTGGCGACCATCGTAAACGGGTCTTACGCGAGATGGCGTAGCGACCTTCCGAGGTGGCTCACGCGGGCCGCCAACGCGGCAGGCTACTCTGGAGACGGGGGCGCCCACGCACCACCTTACGCGAGCAGATTACGCGCCAACGTCGGCGCAGTCGACACCATTTCTTTGCGCAGCCCGCCTGGAGGAAAGGGTGGTGGTGAGGAGGAGGAGGAGGAGAAATAGGAGGAGGAGGAAGAGGAGGAGGAGGAGGAGGAGGAGGAGGAGGAGGAGGAGGAGGAGCAGGAGGGGGAGGAGGAGGAGGAGGAGGGAGGGAGGAGGAGAAGGAGGAGGAGAGGAGGAGCAGGAGGAGCACACCCATCTCCCGAACACCGGCTCGTCCTGACTCCCCCCCGAAGGTGGTGGTGGTGGTGCGCTCCATGCTCCCATGGGGAGGGCCACGGACGGCGCCGAGGAGCCCCGACGGCATCCGTGGAGGGGTGCAGATACGAGCACGGCGCCTGCGAGGGGAACGCAAGACGAAGCCAGGACGAAGATAACATCGCGTGAGGATACATCGGGAACCTCCGAGATCCGGCGGCTCTGGAAGATGTCTCGGGCGCCGCGGCCTTCTCAGAGGGGAATGCTATGCGAGCGTTCCGGAACGCTCTGGAACGGATTATCCTGGTCCTAGCCCCGTCCGCAAAGGCTGGGGTTAAGTCGGGCGTGTCCCCCTACAGGGGGATTTTCTACGAAAAATTAAATACCCCCAAACACTCCAAAATGGGAGAAAAAATACTCCAAAAATAATATGGGGATTATTTTCTGAGCATGTTTGGAGCATTCTTCGGGTATTTCTACTTTTTCGCCCAAAATCCCCCTGTAGGGGGACACGCCCGACTTAAGGGTAGGGTAGAGAATCACCTCACATAGCTGGTGTTCCTGGCGCCTCCTGCCGCAGGGCGGCGTTTATGTATCGGGGGCCCGCGACTTGGCGGCGCACAGATGAAGGGGCCCTGGGACACACATAGAAAGACACACAAATAACAGGATTCCCAATATTTTTGTGTAATTTTGGGGGGGTTGTCTTCCCCCCCACTTCCCATATTTTCGCATATGTTCCTGGGAATCGACGATTCATTGTGTCTGTGTGTTTTTCCCCTCTTGAACAGAGGGGCGCAGGGGAAGGGGGGAAGGCTTCGTCGAAGGAGGCTGCTTATTAGAAGGCGCGGGTCTACATCCACAGACAAGGCCCGCGCCTTCTAAGAAGCAGAGATACTTCTGAGAACCCTTCCCCCTCCCCCGACACCCCCCCCTCTGTGCGTGGCCGAGCAATTAATGGGGGTGAGACTCTGAGGGTTTGGAGGAGTCTTGGCCCAGCAAGCAACGACCAAACAGTTTCACGCATGCTACCAACTCTCATTCGCACGGAACGCTGGGGTTCGCTCTTTCCACCCTTCTGGAACGTTGGCAACGCCCTGCCCTGCAGGTAGGCACTTTTTTCCTTCAGCAGGATGCTTCCTGGTAGTATTAGTAGCGGTCGTGATTTCATCCTGTTCATACTTTGCCACATTGCCTCTCACTGTTTGAACTCCAAGTGCGTAGTTCGATCGCTGCTTACACTAACTTCATTACTCGTGAGCTTACTCCGTCTGAAATTAAGCCTTGATTATCTCCTTGTCTCTCATTGCCCCTCATCGCATACGCACTACATATTGCGCGACGATGGTGAACGGACTAAGGCATACTATACCCTTTTATACGTTTGACCATCGATTGAATACCTATCGCGTCAACGAATGACTGTTATGCTCTTGCGCCCAATTCATTCTCTACGCCGCCGATTGCAAGGCATCCTCCGTACGTCGCCATCCTCGTTAGTTTTCACAGCACAGAAGCTAGAATGACAGACCTCTGATATAATAAAACATGAATCACGCCCCGGCTGCCTGATATGTCAGCCCGAAGCCCGCTGCAGAACTAGCCCACCGGCCATGGGCCAGATGAACCAATGACGAATCGCGGCTGCCTGATATGGCAGCCGGAAACCCGCCGCCAGCCGCCCATATGCTGCAAGCAAGGCGTCACCGGCCATCGGCCAGATGACCAGTACGAAACATATTAGCAACCCAAATGTTTACCACATGTCCCCTCTCAATCTCCTTCCCCCTGCATCGGCATCGATCGGACGCGCAGGGTCGAATTTCCGCTGCGACCGAGGCTGCAGTGGAGTAGTGGCCAATCTGAATCTGCCGATCCCGCCAGTCTCCCCTTGTTGGGTACGACGAAGCTTGTGAGATATTTGTCCAAATTTATCCTCGTCCTCCTCCTCCTCCTCCTCCTCCGCCTCTTCCTCCTCCTCCTCTTCCGCCTCCTTCTCCTCCTCCTCCTCCGCCTCCTCCTCCTCCTCCTACTCCTCCCCTTCTCCTCCTCCTCCTCCTCCTCCTCCTCCTCCTCCTCCTCCTCCTCCTCCTCCTCCTCCCTCCATAGAACGACTCCGACACGCTCCGGAAACGTCGATCACGCCCACGCAGCCTCAAGATGGCCAAAGGCACCCGCAAAGCTCCCCAAAAGAGCCCCAAGAGAGACTCACGGGGCAACATGAAGAGGTTCCATGGATGTCCAAACTCTGTTCGCTGTGGCTTCTGAAACTTCAAGACGGCTCTGGAGGCCCCCCAGACTAGCCCACGAGGGCCCAAGAGGTCCCCAAGAGGGCCGGGAGATGGCCCAAGATGGCATGAGAGGGTCCCAAAGCAACCACGCGTGCCTTCAAAACGGCCCCAGTCGGGGCCAACGAGAGGCCCAAGAAAGGAACTCGCAGGGATCCCAGAAGTCGATACTTGTAGATGCAATGCAGTCTTCCGCTGCAAGGCAAACTGACGGCAACGACCGGCCCTCCGCAGCAAGATGGCCCTCAGACTCCCAGCATGCCCCCGAGAGGACCCCAAGCGGCCCCGCAACAGACGCGGAGGGCGAGAGGACGACTCGGCAGCAGCCACAGGCAGGCACGCTCACGGCAAATGGCAAACAACGCATACAGTCGGGGCGTTGACCTAAGGAACCCTAAATAAGGAGCGAGGCCCCTGTTTTCCATAAGTTAAACTTCGATTTCCGATCGAAAACCTAACGAAAACCCGAGGAAAGCTGCGAAACACTTAAGGAACGCGGAGCCCCTCCCCAACGAAAAGGGTTCCTTCCTCAGCGCCCCGACTGTAGGTGCGGAATGGTGTGAGCCTCTTGAAGAACAACCTCATGATATACTGGCGGAGGCCACGGACGCAGACGAGGAACCCTCGGATTTCAGACTCATCGTCCTCAGACACGACGCTGGAGGAGCGACTACGTCGCCGTGGTCGTCTGCCCCCAGGAGGCCTCCGACAGCAAAACCAGAGAGCCCGAGGTGCTTGACGTATATATTCAAATATTGTAGGCCGCCTGACGTACGACCATCAACAATTTTCAGCTCGACCTTCCCGAAGATGTGCCACTCCCTTGACGGCACATGCGATACGGAGTACTGGTACCCTCCTGATTGGTGGGCCTCTGCCCATGATCCTGTGATGTTGACTCTTTGGAAATACATATCCGCGCACCTTCCACCCAATCGGCGAGCATCGGCCACCACTCGAAACAATGCATTCCCAGCAGGTTGACCGCGAGGTATGTTTATCAGAATATGCCTGCCTGGCTTCATCAAATCGAAACGCTGACCAAGAACATTCTGCAGATGGGGATCACCAACCGCACTGGGCGGCGGGCTTGGCGACGGGCTGGGCGGCGGGCTTGGCGTCGGGGTTGGCGTCGGGCTGGTCGTCGGGCTGGGCGTCGGGTTTGGCGTCGGGCTGGGCGTCGGGCTGGGCGTCGGGTTTGACGTCGGGCTGGGCGTCGGGCTGGGCAGTCCGCAATTTGATGGTTGAAAAGTGAGACCACTTAGGACATCGCCATAACACCTGATTCTGATGCCACTTGACGTACCAGCGTTGCAGGCTCCACTCCAAGCGTTGAGATCCCCCCAATGATTGAAACCTAGTGTGCAGCTCGTGAGAGGCTCCCCAACATCGCATTTGCCTACTGGCATCGCGTCATGGCTAGGGTAAACAAACACGTTCGTATGTGTATCATGTTCGCCATATTGGATACCCAACATGTTGCAAAATGTCGTTGCGCCGTCATCGTTGTCCCAAAAGAAGTGGCTGCATATTGGATACCAAGAGCCAGCGTAATATAAGAATGGATGGTACCACGTGTACGTTTGTACGGCACCGAACTGTACACCATTGATGTCACCAAGCATGGCAGACCCATCGCTGCACGTGGAATTGCTGGAGATCGAGGTTGACTGGAAATGGTGCGCGCGGCGATAAATGGCTTGCACCCTTGTCAGAAGCATCAGGTAAACAAACCCACCTGCGCACATGCTTGATACCATGTTGGATGTTGGGTCAAAGTCCACAACGGGTCTCACTATGAACACACGTCCGTGTCGAAGTAGGAATTGTTCCTTGGGCCAGAGAGGGCGTGTACGGAACCCTGCGCTGCCGTACTCGATGGAGTGCGTGCGCCTCAAGCTCGTGCGACGCGCTACTCCCTCGTCCAAACCGCACCCCACTCGCCTCAAAACCTCTGGAGGTGGCTTCCCGCTGCCCTGACACTGCGCCCCGCCCCTCCTCGTCCTCCTCGTCCTCCTCCCGCCTCCTCCTGCTCCTCCTCCTCCTCCTCCTCCTCCTCCTCCTCCTCCTCCGCTCCTCCTCCACCTCCTCCTCCTCCTCCTCCTCCTCCTCCTCCTCCTCCTCTCCTCCTCCTCCTCCCTCCTCCTCCTCCTCCTCCTCCTCCTCCTCCCCCTCCTCCTCCTCCTCCTCCTCCTCCTCCTCCTCCTCCTCCTCCTGGCAATTCCCCCCCATCGCCCCACGCACTCCGGCTGAGCTCGCCTGCGTTTTCGGCACCCTCCCCTTCAGGCTAGGCGGGGGTAGATCTCGGCGGAGGACAAACCTCCCTTTAGCAAACCTCCCTTTCGTGAAAACGGCCTGGGACCGAAACCGACGGACCTGGACCCGCACAAATGACGGCCGCGACGCCCTCTCGCGAACCGAGAAAGGCCGATTTGCTAATCGACGTGTCAGGGTAGGAGGTCTGTCCACCCCGGAAGATACCGCCTGGGAAACCGATGAACTGGGCCCCCCCCCTAAGGGCAATGGATGTGGATCTGTTGGGGCCTGCCCAGAGCACAAACAGATCCACATCCACCGACGCCCAAGGTCCAGCGGGGATGGACAGACCCCCCTTTAGCAAAACGTGGTTTAGTGAAAACGACCTGAGGCCCAAACCTGGCGGGCGCAAGCCTGGAAAATAACGGCCACGACGCCCTCTCGAACACCGAAAACGGACAATTCACTAATCGACGTGTCACTGTTGGGGATTCTGTCCAACCCCGAGTCTAGGAAAACCGGTTTCCCGGGCAATGCAAATGGCGGGCACCGGAAACCCTGAACCTAAGAACGTTGCTATCCTTAGGGGGCGCACTCTTTACCTCTGCCGGCTTCGGCCACTGGAGGCGCACTCGCTTTACTTCCGCGGGCTTCCGCCGCACCTCCGTCGCCTTCCGCCGAGGAAGAGAAGGCAACTCCCTCGATCCGTGAATGCGAGGGTCTTCCTGGAGCGCGCCATATGGACAACTCCACACGTTTCAATCGGGGCCCACCAAGGGGAGGTGGGGACCCTGAGAGGGGGTTAATTCGATCTGCTGGTGCATCGAATTTCCGAAAAACGATGCCCCCCGCCCGCCCCGATTGTCGACGCCTCTCGGTTTCCGGCGGCGGCCGGAGACCCCGTTTTGCATACTTGTTCTGCGGTTCGATGCCTCCCCACAGGGGGATTTTCGACGAAAAATGAAAAATACCCCAAGAATAATCAAAACAATAGTCCAAAAATAGTCTGGGGACTGTTTTGGGGGTATTGTTTGACCTTTTTGTGTGGTACTTGTTGGGTCTTTTTTCTTTTTCTTCGAGAATCCCCTCGGTAGGGGGGCACGCCCGACATAAAACTAACACCCCCCCTGTGCCCCCCCCCCCTCCCCCCTTTGCGAGGTCCCGCTTCAAGAGCGCGCATCGGACTCCAGGGCCCCAGCTCGGCCCTCCGGCGGCCGACTGCGCCGATCTGGGCACCCCATAAGGACCGCTCTAGGCGAGGCGAGGCTGCTGGCGAGCATCCCGAGGGGAGGCAGGCCCCGAGAGCCCAGGGAAACGCACGGACTGGAAGAGGACAACAACTGCAACAAATTGCGCTGTTAGGGGGTCTCATGCGAACCCTACCCCTACCCCCCACGATTTCTGAGGGGAAGGGTGGGGTTCACTTCGTCCGGGAGCTCCCGAGCGAAGTGAACCCCACCCTCCCCCTCAGAAATCGTGGGGGGCAAGGGTAGGGTTCGCATGAGACCCCCCAGCTGTCGACGGTCCGCGCGGATCTCTTGGATCTGCGCCGAAACCCCATCCCTGGCGGGCGGAGCGCGCCGAGGCCCAGGGGGCCCCAAGCCGATCCAAGAGATCCGCGGGGACCGTCGGAAACTTATGTCTATGTGTTCTTATCGTCTTCGTCCTTTTTTCATTCTTCTTCGCATGGGGAAACACTGGTCGAGAAGGGGAACAAATCCTTGACCCAAGACCTTCCCCAGGACGTGATCTTCACCCTTCACCGTTCTCTGACAGTGCTGGGGCCGGTGGGAGGGCCCCGAGAGCCAAACAACGGCAAAAGACCTCAGGATCCGTTTCCCTCAGAACCCGTTTCCTCCATGGTGATTATTTTGATCAGGGACCGACCGTCCTGGAGGCATATCACGAAATGGTGTTAGAACAAATCATGTTCTAAGAACAAAAACGCTGTTCATATAACATGACATCTAAATTATGAATCAAGACGGTCCATACAACAAGTGTTGTGAGGAAAGCCCGTGCAAACCTCAAAAGGTGGACCTGTACAGTCGGACCTAACTAGAAGACCATCAATCAACAACATGAGACCCTCCGCCGTCCCAAACAGACAGAACATCCGAGGGTACCCTCCCCAGGATGCGCAAGTAAATCCCACAAGCATGAAGAACACCAGTGAACCCTCCCCGAGCTGGAGGAAGAACAGAAGGCAGACACATTCATAATTGGAGGTGCGCGCGGATTTGTTGGCTCTGCGATGGACGCCCTTCCCTGGCGCGCGGAGGCGCCGCCAGGGGCGGGGGTTCCAGCGCAGATCCAGGAAACCGGAACGGAGCGCCAAAAGTCCGTATGCTCATGCCCGCTTTGTCTCCTTCGAACTGGGGCACCCTCCCCGCACCGACCTCGCTCCTGCGCCTCGGCCCGACTGCAGGCAGAATCCAGGACGCCCAGCCACAGCTTGAGGTTCTTCTCGGCGGTGGACAAACCTCCCTTTAATAAACCTCCCCTTAATGAAAACGGCCTGGGACCGAAACCGACGGACCTGGAGGAGGCGGCGCAGAAGGAGGAGGGGAGGGAGGGGGGGATGATGATGATGATGATGATGATGATGATGATGATGATGATGATGATGCTGATGCTGATGCTGATGCTGAGGATGAGGATGAGGATGAGGATGAGGAGGAGGAGGAGGAGGAGGATGAGGATGAGGATGAGGATGATGATGATGATGATGATGATGATGATGATGATGATGATGTAAGATGATGATGATGATGATGATGATGATGATGATGATGATGATGATGATGATGATGATGATGATGACGAAGAGGAGGAGGAGGAGGAGGAGGAGGAGGAGGAGGACGAGGAGGAAGAGGAGGAGGACGAGGCGGCGCAGAAAGAGGAGAAGAACACCCCCCTCCCCCCGGCCGGACGTACGCGGGGTCGGGCTCGAGGCGCAGCGCGTAGGCGCCGCTCTCCCGCATGCAGGCGAGGGAGCAGAATCTGCACACCTCCGCGCTGCGGGGGGCCCGATGCGCGGCGAGGATAGGGGGGGTCACCAGAGAGGTGCTCGGGGGGGGGGGGGAAACTCCACCTGCTCGAAAGAGGCGCCAAAAACAGCCAAGATCTACTCCACAGGGGGGGGGCGGGTGCGAGGGCCTGCGCCGATCGGCAAAACGATGAATAATAAAATGATCACGTTCCTGGACCCCCAAGATGTTTCAAGATTGTGTGTGGGTGTCTCCCTTTCACTGCATCTCCGTGTGTTTCCCCAACTCCTCACGATGGTCAACGTTTATTCTGCGCTTGTGTAGATTTCTCCCTCCTGGGTCCGGCCTCCTCCTCCTGGCCCCCACAACTGCCCAAAATACACATCGGCCGGACGATCCGGGAAGACACATGGAAGATCAGGGCTCTGGACGTATTTTGGGGTCTTCCCGCCCGCCCCCTGAAGACGAAGGAAGAAAGAAAACAACTCGGTCCTTGAGATAGGACGGCGCCTACAATCCTTGAAATAGCACGAACGGAGAAAGAAAACCACTCGATCCTTGAACCACTCGATCCTTGTAATAGGACGAAGGAAGAAAGAAACCCACTCGATCCTCCTCTTCCTCCTCCTTTCATCCTCCTCCTTTCATCCTCCTCCTCCCCCTCCTTATCCTCCTCCTCCTCCTCCTTCTCCTCCTCCTCCTCGTCCTCCCCCTCCTCCTCCTCGTCCTCCATGTCCTTCCTCGCTCCGCTCCTCTCCTCCCTCCTCGCGCCCCTCCCTCCCCGACCTTCCTCCTCGCTCCTCTCGTCGACTCCCCCCATCTTCGCCCCGCCTCCTCGTCCTTCCTCGCTCCTCCCTTGGGGGGGGATCGGGAAGGCGAACAGCGAAGAGGCGGAGAGGAGGGCAGAGCGAGGTGCGGGAGGAGGTGGCACGGGTAGGTGGAGGAGAGAGGATTTGGGAGGATAAGGGAGGGGAGAGAGGGGAGAGAGGGGGGGGGGGTGAAGGGGGAGGATGGGGGAGGAGGACGAGGAGATGGAGGTGGAGAGGAGGAGGAGGAGGAGGAGGAGGAGGAGGAGGAGGAACAGGAGGAGGAGAGGAGGAGGAGGAGGAGGAGGAGGAGAGGAAGGAGGAGGCGGAGGAGGAGGAGGAGGAGGAGGAGGAGGGAGGAGGAGGAGGAGGAGGAGGAGGAGGAGGAGGAGGGGGGCGCGAGGAGCGAGGAGAGGAGGGATGAGCGAGGACGACGGGGAGGTGGAGGGGGGAAGTGGAGGAGATGCGGAGGGCGGAGCACGGGGGAGGATCGATGGGGAAGAAGCGGTGAGTAGGACCGAGAGGTAGATACGGGAAGGAGGTCAGGAGACTTCCGAAACCAGGAATGAAGAATATGCAACACCGCGGAAAGCGTACTAAAGCATAGGTGGTCCTTCCTCCTGGTCCATCTTCCTGCTCAAAATGGGGACTGGGAGGCTGACACATTCCACACGCGTATAATCAATCTATCGACACCCTTCTTCCTCATGCACGTCCCTCCTGAGATGAAGCATACAGGGTCCTTGTAGCAACGACGAGTCATGGACCCTGGAGCGTTCTCTTGGGCGTGGACCGGGTCCAACTTCTCGTGGGCGCCGCTCAGCAGGGGGCGACTAATGGGGGGGGGAGAAAGGTGCACTTGTGGGGCCCTAACGAGCCCCTTCTGGTCCCGATGGTCCCGAACGAACCCCTTTCAAGCACCCTTCTTTTGCAGGCCTTGCTCGCCCCCCCCCCCAGTGATCGCCCCATCCCGTGGCGCGCCGCCCAATAGAACCTGGAGCAGCGTTGGTGTGTCTGGGGAGACCCGGGGCAGGCGCCGCACTTCCAGGACCGCCCCCCGGCGCGCCACGCGCTGGGGGGGGGGCCCAGCGCCTGCGCAGGACGTCCTCGCGGACGTGTGACATATTGGGATCGACCTCGTTCGACCTAGACAAAGCTAGACAAAGCTCGTTCGACCTCGGGATCGACCTAGATCCTAGATCGATCGATCGGGATCCTCGGGATCAACCTCGGGATCGACCTCGGGATCGGCCTCGTTCGACCTTGCTGCGCAGGACATCCTCGGCATCGACCTAGACAAAGCTCGTTCGTGCTCTGCTCGTGCTCCTCTGTCCTCGCTTCGTGCTACAGATCCGCCCCTGCTGCAGCACGAGGCCGAGTCGGAAACGGACCACGACATCGCCAAAGCAGCGTTCGGGTCGAGCCGTTCTGTGCGTAGTGCCTGCTGCCTTCGGCCATGCGCAAGAGTGACCCCGGGCAGGGGCGGCCGTCGGTGCGGGGCCTTGGCGGGCCCCGAGGTGGCCGACCCCGAGCGCGAAAGGGCCCCCCCCCCCCCTCTTTGGCTTTCGCACCCGGGTGGTCTGAACTCACGGTGGCTTTCAGGCGATACGGAAGGTCCGGTGGGAACTCATGGGAGCCTCCCGTACCATCTCGTCGGCTCTTGCGAACCGACGCTCGTCGACGCCAAATCGACGCCAAGCGTCGCGACCTCGGCGCTCCTCGACGCTGGCCGGCGCTGAATCGGCGCTGTCTCATCGCCTCCCAGACGCTAATCGACGCGAGTCGATGCTAAAGACAGAATTGCGATGGTACACAGGGCGCCCGTGATTTGCTACCGAAAGAGCGGCCACTGGCGGCCCTTTGGGACGCTCCGGCCACCCCCGGGAACGATCTCGCGACGAGAAGCTGCCCCAGAAGGAAGCGCCCGTGGAGAGCGCCTCCTGCCACCGCTTCTGCTCCGCCCGCTCCCCCCTGGAGCCTTTGAACGACCTGCTCAGGTCGGAACAGAAAGACGGGGAGAGAGGGAGGGAGAGGGAGCGAGAGAGAGAGAGAGAGAGATGGAAAGAGAGAGAGAGAGAGATCTATCTCTATCTATATATATAGAGAGAGGGTGAGAGAGAAAGCGAAAGAGAGAGAGAGAGAGAGAGAGAGAACGAACACAAAGAAGATCACCTCCCCAGCCCTGGTGCCTCGCTGGTGGCGAAGACCTCCCGCGACCCCGATTTGATCGTCCACCTCTTCTCGGGCACGGTCGTCGCGGCGGACGCCTCCGGCAGCAGGGAGGGGCCCCGAGCACGCGCGGGCGCGCCGAGGAGGCGCGCTGCCAGAGGAAGAGGAGGAGGAAGGAAGGAAGGAAGGAAGGAGGGAAGGAAGGAAGGAGGTAAGGGAGGAGGGAATGGCGGATCGGCAGTGGGGAAGGAGGAGGCGAGCGAGGAGAGGGAAGCGAGAGGACGAGGAGGCGAGAGGAGGAGGATGAAGGAGGTGGAGGGGGAGGTGGGAGGGAGGTGGGGGGCAGGTGGGAGGGAGGTGGGCGCAAGGGTCGGGATGCAGGAGGGGGAGGGGATGAAAGATGTGTCAGGGGGGGGGATGAAGGATGTGTCAGGAGGGATGAAGAATGAGGGATGTGTCAGGGAGAATTGCGTGGAGGAGGAAGAGAACGAATGATGAGAGGATAAGGACGAGGAGGTCGGAGAACGGGAAAGAGAATGAGAAGGAGAAGGAGGTCCGAATAATCGGATGGTGATGATGATGCTGATGATGATGATGATGCTGACTATGAGTATGAAACTGATCATGGCTATGATGATGGTCATGGTGATGGTGATGGTGGTGATGGTGATGGTGATGGTGGTGGTGATGATGCTGATGATGATGATGATGATGATGATGAAGATGAAGATGCTGGTGATGATGGTGATGATGATGATGATGATGATGATGATGATGATGATGGTGGTGGTGGAAGTGGTGCTGCTGCTGCTTATGAGCGGGTAGGGAGGTAGTACAGGGGGGACGAGGCGAGGCAGGCGAGATGAGGATGAATGGGGCGAGACGGCGACGCTTTTTTGATTCGCGTGTCGAGAGCGCACCTCTTCCGGTCGAAGCTGAGCGGGCCGCGCGAAGCTTGAATTCACAAAGAGGGGGGGACAGAAGGAGAGGCCTCACGGCAAGGCCGAGGCGGCGAAACTCTCGTGGGCAACAATTCTGGACTGGCGGGGGAGCCCCCGCCCCCGCGAGGCGCACGAAACCTCCAGAGACCCGGGGTCTGTGTCGGGCCTGCGCCCGCCCTGCTCACCACCTGGGGGCGGCCGCACGGGCTCAGATGCCGCACGGGCCCGGAGAGGAACCCGTGGGAAAAAAAAACACACTGTGGAACAAAAACACACACAGTCTGTGGGACAACAAAAACACAAACAAAAACACAAGGGGGGGAGGGGAGGATGTGGGGAAAAAAACACAGGATGGGGAGGAGGATGTGGGAACAAAAAAACACAGGGGGGGAGGGGGGGAGGGGGAGGGCGCTCGGCATCGCTCGGACGCCCGTTCCCCGTTCGTCGCCTGCCGTCGTTGGCTGTCTGTCATACTCTCATGTTTGCTTTGTGTGTTTCCGTCGTAGTCTTCGTGTGTGTCCAGATGGTCGAAAGGTACTCCAGGGTGGTCCAGGCTTTTTTTGGCAGAGGCCGCGCCGAACAAAAAGGCACCCTGGGGAAGGATCCGCGTGCCTTGCACAGATCGCAGATCCACGTGC